TCGTCAACGAACGTCGTTCCGAACACGTTTCGTTCTCTCGGAGCGATCCGAAGGCCCGCCGAACGCCCCCCCCCGGCCCGGAGTGAGCGATGAAGACAGGATGGCTGGCATTCGGTAGGATTCGTATCACCCGGTTGACCAAGTTGACAACCACAGCCGCCGGATTTCCGGCCGGAAAGAATAGCAAGCGAAACATGGTGATTCACTTGAACTTGAACCCCAAAAGACAAGGAGAGATGTCTTTGCACCGACCGACACCCCTTGGGTCTACGATCCCTCCAAACCATGAAAGACACTGAAACGATCTATAGTCAGGTACCGTGTCCGGTCAAACAATCCTGCACCAGACTGGACATTTGTAGTACGTAGTCACCGAGACTGGTAAACTCTCCAGAACTGCGGGGGCCGCGGCGTCGCTCAGCTCTCCCTCCAGACACCCGCGGCCTCGCCGCAACCGAGGGTTTGCGGGAGGCCCCACCCTACGCCCAATGGCGTGAAGTAGTTGTGGGAGAGGTGAAAGCCATGCCTCAGAAAAGGCGGACCGCAAGGAATGTCTTTGTGTGATGTCCTTCATTCGTTAAAGAGATGAAAACACGTTTTTCAATGTTCTGCCTGGCAGGGAAACCTGCAGAATAAGTTGTTAGTTCAAGTTTCCCAACAAACGAAATGTCAATCGCCGCTCTGACGGCCCCGGCACGCTTGGTCGCGGAGAGTATTCCAGAAGTAGCGACAAAGCCTGGGTGTTCTTGCACAGGAAATGCAAACATTTTGCACTGGAAACCGCAAAATGTCCAATCTTGTTGTCCACGTGTTTGGTTTTTTGAGACATTTTGAGACATGGTTGTCAGGACATCTATATATATATATATAGAATCTACAACCGTCCTGTAGCAAATAGAATATGAACAAATCCAACAAACATCACCAGTCTCTTGTTGTTTCCCGTATTCATCCAAACTCTATCAAACTCTATCCACTCCAGGATGACTATTTTATACTAGTCTATTATATTATACAGTGGTTTCAGAGTAGATGGCACAAACCCCTACATGTCCTTTAGATGGAGGTTCATATAAACCACCTCTTGGGGATTGTGCCATCTACTCTGAACCCACTGTATTGCATTCGACCTGCTGACCTGGGTAGTTCCCCTCAGGCCGTCACTTGGGCAGACACATCCGACAAGCGGTTCTTGTACAACTCCACCTGCAGCAGACTGGTGCAGACCGGTGCAGGAAGTTGAGCCCAAGAATGGTTAGCCTCTTGATTTATACACCCCCCCCATCCCCCCCCGCTTACCTGGTAAAACCTGTTCCTATGAGGATTGTCTCAATCAAGACATTCCAGACACGATCCAGATCGAATGGCCCCGTTGCGGGCATCCTACCTGGATCCATCAAGGAGATGTCCCTACCTGGACCTGACTTCGTTCCTACCCTGGAAACTGTAAGGATCCTGGCCCACATCCTCAGGTACTTCGACTCTTTTGGCACCCACCCCAACCACCGAATCCTCAGGTGTGGGCCGCCGGGAAGACATGGAACATGGTACGACATGCTACGACGTACGGGGCCCTTGGTACAGTCCACCGAGCTACGAAAGAGGTCGACTCTAGTGTCTACCTGGAGTCGACCTGCTTGTGCCTCGGGAAAGTGGGTACAAGTACAGTATAATAATCCCCATCGAATTCGACCTCGAACCCGGGCTGTCCTATTCTTTAGAGGAAATTCGCACAGGGATGTATAATACCTGTTTTAATAGGGTCAGTCATGTCCCATCTTCTAGGGAATGAACTGGAGGGAGGGTCGGCCACAGGTCCCGACCACTTCAGACTTGGGACCCTCTTCGGTAGTACTGTTTGTCAGGAACCTAGTGCCAGGTCGCTTTGTTGCTCGGAGCAACTGAGGAAGACTGGTTTTAAAGTTTTGAGTCTTGCTTGAACGAACCTTCATTCATGAGCACTGGGTTCCTGATAGTTAGCTTAGAAGGCCATCGCTACTAGGTTGGAGGCCATCGCTAGTAGGTTGGAAGCAACTAGGATCGAGTGGATCGCTACTAGTAGCAAGAAGCTACTAGTAGCGATGCACGTGTTACTCAATTTCATGTGCCCTAAAAATCGGGCTTGGTTCGCAATACATAGGGTTTGGTTCAGGTCGGGACCTGGGTCCGACCCTGTCGTGGAGGGGTCAAGGATTCTTAGGGCAAGGAAGACACCCCTCAACGAGTAGACTGGTCTATTTCCAGAATCTGGTCTTTGGACTCGAACTGGGAGGTTTGCCTGCTTGAATACACTCATGCCACGCCTGAAACCTTTGGTTCCTTGCTACTGTGACTGGAAGGGTCTCCTCAAGTGACAAGACAAATACTGCATGGGACAACGTGTGGCAAGAGAAGTGCACAAGTGTGGCAGTAGATCTCTAATTTGTCGCAGTGCCCACACTATCTTTGTCGCAGCAGCGTAACTACAGTTGGATACAACCACTTCGTTCGTGCCCTAGAAAAATGGGAGACCCATGGATTCTAAAAAGCAAACAAACACATGTCCTTTTGTATCCATTTCTCTGAGGACGAGGTCGACTCCAGGTCCGCGATTGGTGCATCACGCGACTCCACGCGAGCGCCGCGGTGACTGGGGACGCCCAGCCACTTCCACGTGCATGGTGCCCGACAGAAGCGCCTGTTCGCACCAGAGACTCGGTGCTGAGATGATGTGAGAGTTCTCCTGAATCCGATCCACCAAAACCAGAAAAAGAAAAAGACACATCGGAACCTTCCAAGTAGATCAGTGGTGTTTGAGTTCGTGATCGTGCTTTTTCGGACGTGTCGCCGAAACACATCGAAGAGGACATGAAACCTAAGTCTCAAAAACATTCAAAAATCATTGTGCTTCTCAACGCAATGTGAAATGTGTGAGAAATGTATCGGGTGGTCTTCATCTGTCTTCCTGATCCGACTCGAAATCTTGACCCTCATCAAGCCCTTCGGTGACCTCAATGCTCTGAGGTGCCACAGACTCAGTGACTCACTCGTGAACGGCTGATTGAAACCCGATCTCCACTGTGGAAACACGCTGGAAGAGTTCAGACCAGCACCGTTATCTTTTTTCCATGCAGACATATGAGGGACGGTCAAAACTCATTAGTATTCTTTGACTAAAAGATGGACCTCATCGGTTTTGAATTGGACATATTATGTTGACAAAAAAACATCACATCACAACCCGACCAAGAAACGCGCGAGCGCTCCGCGGAGCGCTTGTTCGTCCGCTGCACCCTGCAGCATCACATCTGCCCGCAACATCAACTTTGGAAGTTGCTGCAAAGCTGCTCCTGGTGGTCCAGCGTCCCAGCCCAGGGGCGCCCGGTGAGGGGGAAAGCAGTGACCGAAATGATTTGTCAGAGCATCATCATCATCGTCATTGTATCATCGTGGCGCGCTTTAGGTCCACTTAGACCATCCTTTCGCAGTACCTTCTTCTGAAAAACAGGGGCCTATATACGGGTGGTTCTCTACTACAAACACAGTCTAGATTGGGATCGAACACTGAGTCCTTCACAAAGGTTCATCTGCTACCTAGAGAGCAGATTACACAATGATGGAACCATCCAAACAATCAAACACGACCAATTCGTCGGTTCGGGGTTCCAGGTATCTACTATCATGTGGAACACCACTGTGGTGACGATCTTTGAAGGGTCCCTTGGGGTCTCCGGCGTCGCGTCTGAACCCAGAAATGGTCATTCTCCTTCCGTTGCAGACGGTCCACGCAGTCGAAACCTGCGTCGTCGAATCGAAATGCTGGGTACATGGTATATATATATATGTGGAGTCTCAGTTCATACCTCGGAATCTGTGGTCTGTGGGGAAAAAACTCAGTTCCACCTGCCTTTTTCCTTTGGGTCAAGCACCGCTCAGGACATGGGCAACACAGCACTGCTCCGGAATCGCTCTGGGCGACTTCGCCCCTGCGCCATAGATTGCCTTTGACCAGTTACTAGTTCATGAATAGGGGATACCCGTGGTACAACTACGACAAACCATATTATAGGTACCTTTTGAACCTGAGTGACGAATATTTGGGACCACCAACCATCCAAAACATTGTCATTTCCCATCGAAGCTGGGGTACTGTCTGGGCTCTAGGATGCTCTAGGTATATAATCCGGGACACAGAGATAGAAGAAATGTTTCGAATATTTCAAATAGAAGATGCAATTTTGGTGGTTTCCAAGCAAGACTTCAAATAGAAGAAAATGCCTTGTGCAAGAGGTGCCTTGTTGATGTTTTTTTGATGGTGTTTGGGCACTTTGAACTCCAATATCTTCTATTTGAACGGTCTTGCAAGAGAGGCAGGATTTCATGGTATTTACAGTGAATTCTTGAAGTTTTGGACCGTTTTGGATGATCTTGTCCGACATTTAGCCGGGACAGACGGTGCAAGTTAAACCCAAAAATCAGAGGACATCTTGCACAACCCAAGAAGTCCAGAATCCCGGTACAAAACGGTAAAAAACCTCGAGTTTTTTAGCTTTTTACTGAAGGTCAGATCCACAAGATAGCAGAACAACAAGTGAAGGTCAAATAGAAGATATTGCCAAAGCAACCAAGCACATCAAATAGAAGAAATGTATATCTGATTATTTTGGTGTTATAAAATAATCTGGTAATATCTTCTATTTGAAAGTGAGTGCAAAGCAGCCTTTTCCTACCCCATGAGTCCATCTTCAGAGCTTTGCTCTGAATCATGCCTGCACCAAGCAGACCTTCCCAGTCGGGAACGACAGCAAACTCAGCCAAGTGTTCCAGTTGGAGCTTGAACCACCCTGTAAAGATAATCAATGGCAACCAGCTTGTTGCAGTGAACCACAACAAGTTATATAAATACAACAACTGGGTCTTGTTTGGCTAAATCCGCAACAGCCCAAGCTGCTTCTTACAGCATGGCAAAACACATAAAGGAATCTACTGTAAGTTCAAATGGCATCATCCGGGTACAAACATTAGTCCACACACAGAGCAAGCTCTTGGGACAATACTTCTATGTACTGTGGCAGCGGCACCCCTTCGACCACACAATGTTCTCCGTTCAAAGCCTGCTCATGGTACTGCCACAACCTCAGCAACACCTGCAGCAAAGCTTTCTTCTCCGAACGAAGGCCTGCGTGGAATGATCTGCCCACGTTGGGCTTTCCGGGATAAAGCCCAAGCCACTGGCCAAACCTCCAAATGTGAAAAACACAGTTCAAATAGAAGAAATGTGTGAATTTCTACACCAATTTGAACACAATAGTTCCAACAGAAAATATTATGTGGGCTTTTGGTGAAACAGGGAGGGATGATGACATCATTAGATATATATAACTATGTATTTGTATACAATACTGTATGAGGCAAGGTGCCGATTGTAGCATAATCCGCAGCCCACAATTCCAAGACAGCGGGGGGTATGTGCCAGGTCCTTGTCATCAAGACTCTGCCAAGCTGAGGAGTGAAGATACTGCAACTCCTTGTTGTTGTTGATCGGACCTGAACAGGGAAGCTCTGCAGATATTCCTCAAAGGGGGCAATTCAACTAGAATATATAAATACTTCTGACTGATGATGATTGAGCCAAATAACCATCTTGAAATGCAGACTTCAAATAGAAGAAATTTAACTTTAACTTTCGCAGGAAAGGAAACTCCGCTGCCTGAAGAGTCGGACTTCTCCACGAGCTCCACATGTTCATCGGAGATGAGGTGTCCGTCTTCATCCAGGGACACTTGCACAAGAATTGGATCATCCTCACCAAGTTCCATCAACATGGCATGTGTCTCTGGAGTCGCTGCGCCATCGCCACCCTCCGCTTCCTGCTCCTGCTCAAGCTCTTGCATGAACTCAGCCACAGTCTCTGCCAAAGCGATCTGCAGCTCCCAATGTGCATTGGGACCAGCTGCATACCTTCAGCAGCCAACTCGTCCATTGTTTGCAGCTGCACACCCTGATCATGCTCCTCTTCCTCCGGTTCAGGATCACTTTGGCTGTTTTGGTAGGCCTCTAGCCCTGGCAAACACACCTTCTCCAGGAAGTCCTTGTCCACCTCCACCTGAAGGCTACTTGCATCAAATGTGGTTTCTGCACGAAGAACACGCAAAGGCTCAGGAGGCAAGATTCCAATCTTGATTGTCCGCTCCAGGAAATTGTAGAGAATAAGTGTTGCTCGAGATCCATCCTTCAGGGAAGAGATCCGGGGACCAAGTTGTGCATATGTGTATATATATAATGGACATTTCCCCAACATGATATCTAAGTGTGAAGACATTCAGTTCAAATAGAAGAAACTCCTTGAACAAAAGGGGATGTGAAGCTCTTTAAGGATTTGATAGTATTGGTGCTGGGCAGTTTCATGGAGAGATTATCGTTGCAATAGACCGTTCAGTTCAAATAGAAGAAATACAACTCTAATCTGTGGGGTCGGCGCTCCTTGAGGCTGAATTGTCCGTCTGCACTCTGAATCACGTGGGTTTTGATGTACTGGGCTGTGGCTGGCTGCCCCGATGTATGAAGCAGGACCAGTGTGCGGAGACAATCACGCTCTGCAGCGTGAAATTTCTTTTTGCTGAGCTTGCCCGCCTCATGTCGTCGCCGAGCTTCGAAGAGCTGCAATTGATATTTTGAGTACCCCTTGTCAGCAAACTGAGACATCAGCAGTGGGAGGTTAATCCACTCATCCTGTTGTCCTTCAGCCTGAGGGTGTTTCATCTGCCAAACGTGAATGCTGCGGCCATCACATGCGTCCCGCACGGAGTCTGCAATCGTTGGCCTTCAGCTGTGAGAAAAAACATAAGCCAATATCTTCTATTCGAAATACCCTTTTAAAGTGACCTAAGTTGTGCCAAAGCCAATATCTTCTGCTTGAAATACCCTTTTTAACTGACCTAAGTTGCACCAAAGCCAATATCTTCTATTTGAAACGCTCCACCGCCGGTTTTTGAAGTGTCTAAATAACACTGAAATGCGGACATGATTCGGCACAAGCTCAGGAATTCCAGGGACTAGCTCTCGCGCTGAGGCTTCCTCCTTAAGCTGCATCTCCTCAGCTTCCTTCTGGGACAGATTTGGGAAACGCTTTTTCATGTCATCCACGGTGATCACGCCCCTGCTCACCCATGCCCAGCGGAAGAGCTTATGGTAGATCTTTTGTCCCATCTGTTGCCACGCAAAGATCAACGATTTGACATTATCCACTGCCGTTGCTTGCAAATGCTTTTGGCCGTTCAGGCCGATCTGGATCTGACGGGTCGCCTGTTCCAATCCAGGAGCTTTGTATCCTAGCCAGGGACTTGCTCAAATCCAAAACTGCAAGAAAAATCTACCCGATAAAATAGAAGATATTAATCACAGGTTGAGGTTGGACAGTGTGGTGACCATCAACAGTAAAGAACATATATATATATGTAACCCATTCTGCAAACCCTGGCACCCAGCCCCCAGGCCTAGCAAAGAGTCGGTGTAGTTGTTTGCCAGTTTGCGGAAAATGTGATGCCATGCATCGCATGGTTGGCCAGTTGCTGACCAGCCCCCCGGGGGGCGCAAGGGAAGAATACAATTGTTCTCCTTGCTCCACATCTCCCGACGACTGCCTTCACCGTTTGAAACAGCAAAGTTGCCGGTGAATCCATCGCAGATCAGCAGCGCTGGGGTTTCACGATTGTAGCCCAATGATGCACGGCGAAGTTCCAGGGCCTGTCAAAAAGGGAATATCTTCTATTTGAAATATGGTCTTTCATCAACATCCAACTGGAAAAGTTGATTGCTGGTCTCCTACAGCTTCTGCTTAGTGTGTTTGAATATATATATATATGTATAGTATATATTAGTGTATGTGTATATTGTTATTCTATATATATATATTATTATTTTTATATCTATACACATGTTTTTTTAAAGATTTCTTCTATTTGAAAAGTATCTCTTTATGTTGTTTTTCTTGCACCGGTTTAGCCAAGATACTGGTGAGATCAGCTCCTGCAGGTGGAGCAGCGTCGTCTCTGCAGTCATGAAATGTGATTCGGTCATGCTTTGGAACACATACACGTGTCCCGCCCATTTCTCATTCACTTCTTCAATGAAAGCCTGCGGGAGCGCTCCGTTGGCCACACATATGCCCAAAGGGCCAATCTCTCCAGAAGCCCAAGTGCTTGTCACAGCTGTGACCCCAATTCTGCCGCCCTGTACAAAGTCAGATCTTGCACAGACTTTTCGAAGCTTGGAAGGCCGGTCTGTTTGTCCCATCCTCTCAACCATGGCATTTGAGACCATTTGAAGGATAGCTTTCAGCCTTTTGCCTTGCAAATCTCCTGGCCAACATTCTCCCCACTCCTCACCCTGGCGCTCAGCTTCTTTTGCACGCCGCTTGTGAATCACTTTTTTGGGAGGCTCATAAGCAGACCGCCACAACTGGTCAAAGTTGAGGACCAAGTCAATTGGAACCTTGTTGGCCAAGATCTGAGCACGATGGGCAAGCCTCATCTCTTTCATCTCCTGGGAGTCATCTGCCAGGAAAGCTCCCTTGGTATTGGAAGCTTGAAGGCTCCACTGCCAGCGCATCAAGAAGAGGCAAACCCACTTGGAATCTACAGGTTTTTGACGCTCAAGAAAGGGGATATGCTCCTCTTCACACTTTTTCCGGTAGGTGTCTTTCCATTTCTTCTGAATGGACTGCGCCGTCTCCACCAACACAGGAATCTTGAGATGAGCAGCGCTCTGCAAGTCTCTGTTGCTTCCAGCCACCATGCGCTCCAGAACTTCATTGAAGGCTGATTCCTTCTGGAGATACACGGGAAGAATGCCCCTTCCTGTATCTGTCAGCTAAGCCCAGGGCCCGCCTGAGCCAATCCGGGAGCTGCTTCATTTGAGTCCTATCTTTTACGCTCAGCATCGTCCAAGGGATTTTTGCATGTCGCTCTTGCTGGTAGGTCCTTGCTTGTGACCAAGGACTGTTTCAAATAGAAGAAAATGCAGAACAATTAATATATAGAAATATCAACATGAGGATATAGAGAGTGGAACAAGAATGCTTCCAACAAACTACCATGTTTATGAATTTCAAATAGAAGAAATGACTTTCTAAAATGATGACTCCAATTCACAGCAAGGTACCGTGTCCACTTTCCCAGAAGGCCGGACTTCCAAGCGTTCGACTCATATGAGAAGAAAAACTTCTTAAAGCGGGACATTACTTCTCTCTCAATGCTGGTGACAGAGTTCTCTCTGTGCAGCTTCAAGGCAAACTCCACTATCATGGCTTTTGTGTAGAGCGGGATGGTTGCATTTTTGTTCGAGTCTTTCTCTTCCATCTCTGCAAATGGATCACCGTCTTTGAAAGGCGGTTCCTGACGTCGCTTTTTGGTCTTTGGTCTGTCAGGTCTCTCAGGAGTCAAAAGCGGGCCATCTTCCTCCGGATGATTCTCCTCGGCTCCTCGAGTGGGAGAGGTCCGAGAGGCAGCCCTCCTTTTGCGTCCTTTTGCATTTTTTTGGCTTGTTGTCTTTTTGATCCATTGCTGGGTCTTTGGCCCTGTTTCTTGTCCCGAATGAACGCCCTCTTCTCTTTTTGGTGCCGGTGCCAAGCTCTGCCAAGATCTCCTCCTGCTCGCTCACCAGCTGGCGGATCTTTGCGCCAATGTCTGGCTGCAATACAGAGAGCCCAGCATCTTCCAAAATCACTGCCAAGCCCGGATTGCCGGCAGTCAAGGAGCCAATTTTCTCCTCAAACGCAACCCGAGCATCCTCTTGAGCCCCACTCAATAGCAAGGGTATGCCGGTTTCCATTAGCCATGTTTGCATCTCCTTCAAATCCCTGACGTTTGCCTGGACTCCTGCGCAGGAACCAAGGTCAGGTACAGCGCTGGGATTCGGAAGGTCATGCCGGTGATGCCCTTCATCACAGTCGTCCCTGGCTTTTGCTCTCCTCATTCTCTCTTCTGCTGCAGTTTCCAGCCGGGTTTCCAGCCTAGTAGCTTGCAAGACTGCAAGTTTCAAATTGGGTGTTTCTCTTCAATTATATATATATCTTCTATTTGATTGTTGTTCTATGCTTGTCCATTAAATGAACTAAGACACATGCAATATATATATAATATCTTCTATTTGATCGTTTCATTTAATAGCGCCAAAGGACTCCAAATTCTCATTGTCATCATGCAGCACCAATCGTGCATGCTTGCCCTGGTAATGCATATAGTACTTGACATCAACAACGGCATCTTCATGGCTAAGTGGATGCTCATGGCCCTCCTGGTGTGTCCAAAAATGGACCTAAAATGAAAGCAATGCCACATTTGGCTTCAAAGCACCATCATTTTGGGAGGTTCAAGCCCATAATTATGTATTATATATATATATATATGTCCTTAGAAACATAAATAAAGGATACATCATATAGAAGCATTTATTCTTGCATTTCTTCTATTTGAGGGAGCTACAATTGTTTCATGGTTGGATCACAGGTCCTGCGTGGAATGCTGACATTTTGCAACTGCATCCATGCCGGCAGCGTTCAAACGTAGGCATCGGACAGTCTTATCCTTCCCCACCACCAGTCCGAAAGCAAAATCTGCATCCTTTTGCAGTGAATATTGCTGGTGCTGATCCAAAGAAGAGAAGAACGCATCCCAGGAGGGATGGCTGTGTATCCATCCCACAACTACACTTTTGGTCGATTCCAAATGTTGGAGTAATTGGAGGGGCGCTGCGTTGGCACCTTCCGGTTCAAAAACGGTCCAAGTGTTGCTCTTCTGCACTGGAAAGAAAAGTCCGTTAGCGTCTGGGTGCCCCTTTTTTTGTCATTCACAACATGTCCAGTGATCCATGCCATAGTCTCATTTGGATCTTTCGGGAAGGAGTATTCAATGAAGCGCTTGACTAGGTATGCAGGAAACTGCACAGGCCTGCGCTTCTGATCTCGTTCCTCTTGCAAGTCCTTGACTTTGGAGTCTGGCTCAGGACAAAAGAGTGAATCCATGTCCATCACCTCAGTCTTTTTCAAGTCTAGCTTTCTGCCCACCTCCTTCATTCTCTGTAGAGCTTGAGAACTCTTAAGAAGCTCAGCAGTGTCTTTTGGCCGTTCACTTTCAAGGACTTTGTCAAAATGAATGGCAAAGACCTCCTCGCAATCCTCCCCAAACAAATCCACGAACTCCTGGCCAGTTGGAGCTCCAAGAGATTCAGCTTCAAAGCGGGTAGCCTTCCTGATTTCCAGTATCCGCTTTGGAGGAAGGACTTGATCAGCACTGTAGCCTCAGTATTATGGAGCATGGGGCTCTCCAGATATATAGAAGCAATGCATGAAAACATTCTATATAATGTATGCTTTCCTATGTTTCTAAGGAAGTATACAGTAATTATACATAATTATATATATGGGTTTGAACCTCCCAAAGCCCAAAACATGCAGGTGCTTTGAAGCCAAATGTGGCATTGCCTACAAGCAACCCTTGCTGAAAACGATATGGGTTGCTCCCTCCAGCCGCGTCTTCCAGTAACGACCAATTGCTCGGAATTCCCAGGTTTTATTGCCTGCCAGCACCTGTGCCCAATACTCTTTGTGCAAAGGACAGCGGACTGCCTGCATCCAGGGCCCCACCCCAAGCCATAAACACCAATGTAGACATGTACAAACCAAATAGAAGAAAATGCACAATGTATACAGCCTTCTCACCCTCTTTGAGATTAAGGTTGCCCTTCTTTTTCGTTTTTTGTCCTTGCAGTGGAACGAGAAACAAGTCCAAAACAAATAGCAGAATCTCAAACGCTGGGAAATCCAGATCCTACGCAAATAGCAAATATACATTACACACATATACATATATATATATGTGTTATAGGGCTTCTGAAATCATCCCATTGGCAACGAAATGCAAATCAAATAGAAGAAATATGTAAAGACAGCAAACAGAAGA